TGTGACAGTACATGTACATACTGCATGTATAGCTAACGAGGCTAGCTATACATGCTAGCGCAAAACAATGTATTCATGCAAGTTACAATGTATGACCGAACGTAGCAGAATACCCGTATAAGATTGCAATTATAAACACGTTATTGCTAGCCTAATATGAACCACTAGCTTTTGTTCATAGTAGTTTTATTACACTACATTATAGTTGCCGTTCCTCCGAGCTAGCGTTCATATCGTGTTAGCTACCAAAGTAAACAAGAAAGCTAGGTTAGCATATTAGCTGGCAAGCTGTTCATTAGATGGATTAGATAGATCCACACTCCTACCACAACTACTACTAACGAATCTAAAACAACTAAGTTTCTCTAATATTTTGTGATTTGCATTTGATTTCGTCCAGCCAGATCCTGGCGGACAATACATGACGGGGACGGGACTACCACACTGATGCATCGTCCTAAAAAGCACCGGCTGCGCCCAGGCAAGATGCGGGGAGGAATGGATGATATACCGTGTATATATGTATATTTATGTTCATTTTGTACATTTCTAAAAATAAAGTTGAATGGAAATACTTAGTAGGCCTATCCTTTCTTCCCTGAATTATTTGCTCCTATAACATATCATTCATATATAGCAAACCATGATTTGATTTCTCATCAAACAGTAGTAGTTTATTACAGGTAAAAATAACTTACTCTTTGTTATGACCGGCTCGTAGGCCACAACGGAAAGACAAGGAGACATACACGGGTTTACAAAACCACGGCACATTTATTGTGGTAAATGCAGAGATAGGTGGTCGAGGGGAGAGGATCGCCGAGTTCGTCCTTCTGCAGCCGCTTTGGAGAGAGACAGGGGCCGCCGTGTGACTCCGGGCAGCAGGGCTCAATAGCACCTCGGCTCCGGCCAGGTGTCCGTGATGATTAGCCTCTTCAGCTCCACCCCATCGTAAGACCTGCAACACACCTGCACAAAGGCCCTGGGGCCGTCACACTCTTCTATAACAACAGTTGTAGGTACAGTTCGGTTAGTTAGCGTATAAAATATACGGCTGTACCGACGCCATTATAAGACTGATGTTATGCTGAGAGCGAGCCGAAAAAAGCGGGCGGAGCCTCTCTGGTGGTTGACTAATCAGAACAGAGTGGCCGAGCTGACCAATCGGAGCACACAAGGCTCACAGGGAGGGGGGGGGCAAGAGCTCCAACGAGTCGTTTAGTGGAGAGAGTGAATACTGCTGAATACACATACTTGACAGAGATGCTGTATGCGAAACCAATGTGAGTTTGGAAAATTGCACAGTATAAATCTATTTTAGTATACCTCAACAATGTAATTATGATCAGTGGAAATGGCCATGACATGGGCCCTTTAAGTACAAAAGATCTTAATATTTGCTTCCCCTTGTATTAATTGGCATTGCATTTGATATTGAGGTAATCCAGATGTAACTGAAAGTAATCAGGTCACATTGCTTACGTTTTTTTACTCAGATTAGGTGACATATTATGTAACTAGAAATTGTAACAGAATAATTGTAACCCTCCCAATCCTGGTAATAAATGTTTCTTTGAGAACCCTCAAACATGAACGTTTTTTTAATTGGAATTTGATATATTGCAATTTCAAAAATGTCTAGAATTAGTGCTTTTATATATATTTTGTAAGGTTGTTTGCTTACATAATACCAAATGTTGTAGAAAAGTATTTTATTTTAATTAAGGTAACGTTGCATTTCATCTGGTCTTCTGTTTGGAGATGAATTGCCTTTCAGCATGCGTTAACATTGACTGCCAGAAGCTCACATAAATTGACTTTCTATCCAGTTTAAGTGCCATTTTTAAACCATATTTTTAAGTTTTAGTGACCTTGTCCTGAGCTCACAAAGCTTTTAGCTCGTAGCTTTTTTGCTATGTGTTGCCCAGGGGGGAACATAGTTTTGAAGTAAAAGTGCTTCATTTTCTGTTTTTAGCTTTATTCATCAGGCATGTTTGTTTTGGAGAAACTGCTGATATTTTCCTTGTGGTCAAACCTCCTGAATGATTAGATCTTGAATTATCGGAGAAACAGGTTAAACATTCGTTAGCCTTTAGCTCATAGCCGCTCCTCCTTGTGCCCACCCCGGGGAACACTGAAGTAACATTTCTATATTCGGTGTTTTCACCAGCTTTACTCACAAGTAAGAAACCTTTATGGATAATTTGGCTCCATGTAAAGATATCCTCAACGATAAAGAAGGATAACAAATGACTGCAACAACAACCTCCCATGGGCTGCTAGCTTGTCTTTTGTTATTGTTTTGATTGAGACCCCCCTAGTGGCAAAAAAACACACATTGCATGTTTAAAATGAAAAATAATCATCCTAATTTTAGCAAGCAAATGCCTGTCATCTCAGCAATCCATGCTTCCCGAATTGAAATATCATCGGCGAGAGAGAGTCTTATTGTCCCGGTGAAGTGGAATCATTGCTCAAGCAGGGAACATAAATTACCTTGAGCTCCTATTGACAGCTTGTTACTCAGTCTTTATTAAAGGGTCCAATGAATCATGGCCTTGGAAATTACTAGCTCAACACACGGGTCAGCGTAGAGGGATGAATGAATATTGGGGGTAGTTATGGATAAACATATTGAACAACACACCTGTTACACTGTGCATTTCACATGTCTACACTGAAAAAATTGTTATGTTGAATTTACTTAATTTTATTAAGGTAAGTGGTTGCACAAAACAAAGTTATCTAAATCCAGATTTTTTTTAAGTTCACTGTACTTATTATTTTTGAGTAATTTCAATTTAATTATACTGATAATTTTCACCTCAACTATTCCGAGTAAAATGTACTCACTAAACCCATGTTAAGTTTACTAAAATGGATTATGTAACAGTAACCTTTTTTCTTTTTGTACATTCAGATCAATTCAATAGTTTAATTTCTACATACAAAAATTAAGTTGAATTTAATTAAACATTTTTCAGCCATTATTACTATGTCAACTTTCAATATATTAAAATAAAAACAAACAACATATTTGATACATACTCTTACTTTATTATCTTGTACAAAATGACGTAACATGAAGCATGTGTCTTACACGAAACATCTTCTGATTCGAATAAAACATGCAACTGTCATGGCCTCCACCGTGTGTGTGTGGCATCCACAATCCAATCACCTCTGCTATAAGACTCCGGCCCTGACTCCTCCACTTCGCCATATCGTAGACTCTGTAACCACAGTCAGTCACGTCTCCTGTGCCTGCAGCTTCAAGCCAGCCTGACTCCAGACCACCTCCAACGTTGGACCCTGTCCCGCTCCTCCAGGCTCTTCTCCTTGCACTCTCCAACTTGGTCAGACCTCCGTTCCCCTCTCCCTTGGACTCAGTCTAGCTTCCCTGGCCCAGACCCCCCTGCCTACTGCCCAGTAATATTCAATAAACGTTATTATTTTGCTTGAAACTCTTTCCTCCTGTCTCTGCTCTGCTCCTGGGTTCCCTGCTAGCCTTAACAGTACAATCTGGCCACTGTTAAGGCTAGCAGGGAACCCAGGAGCAGAGCAGAGACAGGAGGCAGGAGTTTCAAGCACAATAATAACGTTTATTGAATATTACTGGGCAGGGGGGTCTGAGCCAGGGAAGCTAGACGGAGTCCAAGGGAACGGAGGTCTGACCAGGTTGGAGAGTGCAGGGAGAAGAGCCTGGAGGAGCGGGACAGGGTCCAACGTTGGAGGTGGTCTGGAGACAGGATAGGAGTCAGGCTGGCTTGAAGCTGCAGGCACAGGAGACGTGACTGACTGTGGTTACAGAGTCTACGATATGGCGAAGTGGAGGAGTCAGGGCCGGAGTCTTATAGCAGAGGTGATTGGATTGTGGACACACACACGCACGGGGAGAGACAGACTAGGCAGAGGTGGAGGCCATGACAGCAACAAAGTGCAGTGGAAACAGACAGAGAATAAATCCTGACGTAACATGAAGCATGTGACTGAGGAGAATATAACCTTCCACACATTAATACATGTAATATTTTCACATTCTTCTCCAGAACTAGATGTAAATTGCCAATATAAAAAATAAAATGTTTTACGCTTGGCTAAGGTAGTAAAAGTTGCCATTTCGATAAAAACGAAATGCAACAAAGTGCAGTGGAAACAGACAGCGAATAAATCCTGACGTAACATGAAGCATGTGACTTAAAGGTGGGGTAGGTAAGTTTGAGAAACCGGCTCGAGATCGTGAGAATTTGAAATACACAACCGGAGAAAATCTGCCACTTCCTTACAGAGCCCCTCCTCCTCCAACACACACGAACGCGCACATGACCAATGAGGGCACGAGATAAGTTTGTGCACAGATGGAAGGCTGACGGGCAGGTAGGCCATCCAGTTATTTTAGCCGGGCTGGCTCAGATGATTGGTCGTACTTTTTACAGTATTACGGCTTCCACAGATGACATTTTTTAATGGATTTTTTGTCAAAGCACTTCAGATATTCATTGCTATCGGGATGTTAAGAGCATTCCATGGAATATAACAAAAAGTGTATCTGGAGCCGGTTTCTCAAACTTACCTACCCCACCTTTAAACAGCTGAGGAGAATATAACCTTCCACACATTAATACATGTAATATTTTCACATTCTTCTCCAGAACTAGATGTAAATTAAATAAATTAAATTAAATAAATATAAAAAATAAAATGTTTTACGCTTGGCTAAGGTAGAAAAAGTTGCCGTTTCGATAAAAACGAAATGCAACAAAGTGCAGTGGAAACAGACAGCGAATAAATCCTGACGTAACATGAAGCATGTGACTTAAACAGCTGAGGAGAATATAACCTTCCACACATTAATACATGTAATACAGGTCTTCTAAGTCCATCAACATTTCCACATTCTTCTCCCAACCTTTGAGTATACCGATATGTAAGACTGGTGTTTTTGTAACGCTTTAGTGGCATCGGTTCACAAGAGCTGCTGAAGAAATCCTACAATCCAGCATGTATCTTGTTCTTCAGTCCAAGGACTTTGGGGGAAAGCCTTTCACCATCCATTTGCAAGAGCACTTTCTGAATGAATTCATAGTAGTACCTTAGCTCTTTGGGGTAAGCCATGTTCAGTGTATAGATGACTCCCAGCATGATGGCACAAGCTCGGGCTACAGATCCAATGTTGTCCAGAATGATTAGTCCTTCAACAAAAATCCCAACGTCGTCATAATGTCCAGGTTCTCCACCATCCTTGTTGATGACGTATACGCCCATGGTAGATTTCTGCAGGTCTCTGGTGACGTCATCTCCTCCGATGTCCTGTATATTTAAAGAAAAAACATGTATTCATTCAATATATGTAATTTGAATGACATACTTTATCTTATACATTTTTTGTAATATTGCTCACATACCTATGAATCCCTTAAAACAAAGCTGGTCATACTGTATATATTTCTGAATCAAACTAAATATGTGTGAGGTGTTTTTAAAGATTTACGTACGACCCAATAATCTTGGTGATGAGTGTCAGAAGTCAGAGAGGATTGACAGGTGGACTAAGACATTGTTGATTATGGTCTTTCCATTGGACAATAAGAAAAACAATGAATAAAGCCAACCTCATCGTATAAAGAAACAAGGTGATGGTTTGAAATGCTTTAGTCTGTTGATGAATATCAACATTCATCAACCTTCATGCTCCTTATAAGGTAAAAAATAATTATCTAAAATGACACACACACACACACACACACACACACACACACACACACACACACACACACACACACACACACACACACACACACACACACACACACACACACACACACACACACACACACACACACACACACACACACACACACACACACACACACACACACACACACACACAATTATTTCTCACTTTTGGCAAAGAGTCCACCTCAAGACGGGTAACATTTAAACACACCTCGGAGCGCTTAGTTCTCTCTCCGCTGTGTGTGTGTTGAATGCATGTCGCAGCCGCCTGTGTGTAAACTGCCCCGCCCCCTCGCACACAGACGGGGCACGGGGGATTGGAAAGATCGAAAATACATCATAGACGCATTTCGTCTTATAGCATATTATATACGGTGTTGGCGAAACTAAGACTACCCCCCCCCTAGTTCGGGGGGGAAAGTACTCCGGTCCGGTGTACTATAAGACCAAGATGTGAACGTTAGCCGCGGTAATATTAACCCCTTGCCGCCAGAGAGTAACGTTACCAAAAGCACCCTTACCAACGTGATTTCATATGTTTAGTTGTGTCCTAATATTACCACAGTGATAAGAATAAAAAAAAAAAAACATACTTACAGTCGGCCAGTATACAAGCCGGGGCAGCGGGGAAGTTGAAGCTACAAAAAAAAAAGCCATAGGAACAGGCAGTTAACATTCAACTTGTATTAGCCAACAACTAATAAGAAAGTCTAACAAGACAAAGATTGAATTTAACACGTATTTAACTTGAGAGCAGTATTAAGTTATCTTATAATGTTAATGATGCATGTTACACTTCATTTAGGTTACTTAAACATTACTACACAACTAAGCTAGGTTAACAGTAGGCTAACAGTTAGCTAGCTGCTGCCTACAGTATGTTAACGTTTGCTAATGTTAATCTATCAAAACACACAGTCTATAGCGTTAATATTAGCTATTAAGCTACCTATTTAAGTATAATATAATACACCCAATGCTATAAATTAGCTAGCCTACTTACTTAAAACGGAGAGCCGTGGAGAACGTTCACCTCACGACAGCGGAGCTACGCAGGCAGTCCTGTCCTTCCGATTTCGAATGGAAAATGGAGGGAAAAGTGGCGGTCTGCTTGTGTATGCACATGCGCAGACAGGACAGTATATGTGGTAATTAAATGGTACATAATTTGTTCTAATTACTTTTAAATGAATGAAATGAACTTGTTTTAAACAGTGACAAAATATGTTAAGATTAATTAAAAAAGATAAGAAGGATGCTATAACACATTCAAATCTATTAAAAAAGGCTAGATTAAAACATGTAACATCTAAAAGGGGTCAGAATCAGTTTTTTCAGTGTAGTCTCAGACACTATGATCCATATCTCACAATACCTGCATTTTAGTTTCCTCAATGACAATGCTAAGCTCCAAACCTAGGTTGAAGCCAACATATCCTTATAAATATATTCAAGGTGGGGCACAATGATCTGTGCAACACCCCGCCTCGCTCTGTACTAGATGAATTTTAGGGACCTTGAAAGTAGTTCCCCTGCAATTTTTGACCTTTTTGCAAAGCTTCCCACCTCTGTCTGGCTCCCCTGGGGTTCTTGACAGCGCTGTAGCCCTGGGCATCATCAAACCCCCTCTGCAAAATATCCGACATCGAAGTACTCCATGCCATATTCTGCAGGATATGCACCTTGATCGCTCTGGAAATGTCTGCCAGTTTAGCACTGCAGGTAGTAATGGCAGCTCCATTTTGCTTCCCAAATGACCTGACTTTACTCTGAGGCGTATTTCCTGTCATTCTCTTGGTTCCTGTCAGAGATAAGCTGACAGTAATAAGGCTAACTAACAGAATCCCATGAGGGTTTGTGGGACTGGAATTACAGTTCGGACTGGACACAGAGTACGACAGTCACTTTTTTTTTAACTGTAGATATACAGTGAGTTGAGCATAGGGAGTATCATATCTCTGACATTTTAAGGGGTATATATGCAGTTTCTTTGACTTCTAGACCAATTTTAGGCCATTATGACCTTTTATCTTCTTTGTATCCAAGTTCTTTGAAACAGAATCCCTTAAGATTAGTTTACATATACTTTATTCATCCCAAATTGGGATATGTTATTGTCACAGAAAGTTAACAGGTAGAAGATGAAGAAGAAAAAGAAGAAAGCTGTACCGTTCTGTAGGCTAATACTTTAAGTGTGAATCTAATTATTAATAATAATAATAATAATTCACTACATTTATTTTAGCGCTTTTCCAGATGCTAAAAGCGCTTTACAGTACATTAGATATATTACATATATTTAACATAGATACAATCTATACCCCTACTTCCTGATTGTTTATGGTTGTCAGCACTTTCTTTAGTTAATTTGTTCTTTTTTAATTCAGTAGGTGAACCTATGTGTTCATACAATAGTGTGTGTGAGCTTAACTGTATGTATTAAACTAAAACGGAGCTCAGATTTTGTTTCTGCTTTTTTAAACTGCAGTAAGTGCTCACATGATCATTGTTGGTTTATAGGCTACTACCTGAATATGCTAAATGAAAGTAAATAAATTATCTATATATCTATTGTTATTTGTTTTATTAAGGAAATCCAAAAGTAACAGAACGTTATCAGGTTAAATTACTTTTTTTTCCAAACCCATACATAACTACTTTATAAGGGGATCTTTAGTTAGATACTGTGTTTCAAGCTACCTCCAGTGAACCCAAACATGTATTTAAATGGCAAACTATAGGATGTAGTCTCTAACATACTGAATCAAGACATTATGTTACAAAAAGCGTTGCGTCCCTAGGCTATTACTGCAGATTAGAGAGGTGCTAAACAGGGTAGATGAGCCAAAAAGATCCACTTCCAGACATTTTTTGGTAATGCATACTCATTAGACTGAGCATAGTGTAGTGTTGAGAACACGCTGGGCAATTCACACTGAAACTTGGATAACTGCACTGATACGCAGGTCTGCCTCCCATATGCTCCCACTAATGAGGTCAGACCCAGTCTCACACTTCTATGAGTGGTCCAGCTGCCTTATTATAAGGCTCCATGTTTGTGTATGCTAATGATCTCGCTGCTAATAATCTCATTTAGAAACCTGCCAAAGTTTCAACCCCTCAAATTCTCAGTGTATCGCCGACCCTTTCTATATTAATGTGTATTTAAAATATGACATACGACTTTAGGGACTCAAAAGGGGAAGGGTTGAACAAATGTCAAGGTCTGCTAGCTCGGCAGAAGTTGTTATGAAGAATTGTTTTGCTTTAGACCACAGAAGTTTTAAGGTTTTTTTTGTGAAAATACTGCAAATCAAGTGGAAACACGTCATTTAAAGGGGCCCTATTTTGCTCGCTGCGAGGAAAATGGTGGACCTCTGTCGCGCAACTTCAATGATGCCGTTTAAAAACCTAAAAAATGAAGGGCGGTGCCGGCCGTCAGCGAACCGAGCCGGCCGTCAGCGGCCCTTGACGACCGGCCGTTCTGTGATTCTCCAGATTGCCAGTCCGCCCCTGCTACGATCTCATTCTCTCAGATCAGTCAAATTAATGGAGAGGGAAAATAAATTTGGATTCAGCTTTTAGCGCGTTATACAACCTAAAGACCCTAATGATATATAGGGTCTATGCTATACAAGTGTTGGTACTGGTTAGCTGATTTAGTCAAAATGTATCTGCTGATTTACAGACGTCTCTTTTCCAATGTAAGTCAATGGGAAACAATTTGCTTCAACGTTGGTAGCACCTCATGGGGGCTGGATTTGTACCCTTTGTTGGTGATTGGTCTACTGCTTAACACCACAAGCTAGCCAATAGAAGCGTGAGTGTTACGTAGTGATGTCATCATGTAACAAAAGTAAACAGAATAGTCCGATAAAGGCATTTCAGGCAGGGGGGGAGTATGTGGGAGAGAAACTGCCTGAGTGAACTTTGGGATTTTAGCCTTTGCCGACCATTTACATGCACAAAAACCTATGTAACACACTACAGTAACAGGAAAACCCAACAAAGCTAAATAAGGCCTCTTTAAATGTTTACATCTCGTTCATACAAATGTTCCTCTGAAAAGCAGAGTTTTTAGTGTTAGATTGAAAACACTCACTCATGCAAAATACAAAGGCCCTCAGTGTGTGAATAAAAGCCTCCAGCGTACAAAGCTGCTTCTACTTCCACACTTTTAGCTGACACAGGCAATGTTCTCATAGTTAAGACATGAAAGCCATTGACACAATGTACTGATTTACGACAACTCATTTTGAAAAAATCCATATTCTGTCTTTAAAAACACTTGGCCCCTTCCACCTTGTCAGTACTAATACGTTTGCCATTGCACGAAAATCGTCAGTCCACAACTCAGGATTTTATCTTATTTTCCACAATAACCTGAACCTGAAATACTTCATCTGCTTAGCAACGGTACATTTGAATAGTAAAAAATAAAAACCATAATCCTTCCAAAAGCTATACAGCACACAGAGGAGCCGGTCATACATCACATTTACAATGATTTGTTTGACCAATAAAGCAGATGTATATATGTTATACAAGGTGTTTATCTGAGTCCATCATTGCTATTAGACAGTTTAATTAGATGTAGGATGTCCCCGAGACATTGATGTCATTTTCAACACATAATGGCTAACTGCTGATCCGAAAAGGACAGCACACGTTTAACCATTATATTGATTTATTTCTAATTTATTTTAATAATTCATCAAATAGGAGTAAGTACATCAGGAAATGTATGCCAAATGTTGTGGGCAGTAATTATAAAATCGCCATTATTGCATTGACCTTGGCACCAGCTCAGTGTGGGGAATAAAAGGTGACCCCAAGTTCACCTCCTCTGAGCAGCAATAGCAACATCAAATTCTTCAAAACATGATATATGCTTCATTTTTTCCCCCACCAGTGTTAGTTTGTTCTTGTTTCCAGGCCAAGAAGCTTATAACAACATTACTTTGACAACAATTGTATTGGCATTTCTCAAAGTAGTGTACGATAAAGTGATTTAAAAGAGGTACCGTAAGCATGTTTCGCTCTCTCATCTGATTCTTGGAAAAAGGCAAATACAGCAGGTCATTGAGCTGCTGAGGCCAACACGCTGATTCAGCAAAAAACACACTAGGGTAAAAAAAAAGGGAGAAGCTGAAATAATGTGGGCACAAAGAGAAGGTGAAAATATGTCCCAAATCACTGTCTCTAATCACAATGGTATATGATAGATTGGAGCACCTGGCCTCTAAAGGTGAGAGTGTTACGTTCACTGCTTGAATTCGCTCCCTATTCTTCGGTCGTGTATTGGAAGGAAGTAACATATACATAAAAAAAGTGCAATGCACAAGTTTTAAATCTCCCTTAAATCGCCTGGTTTGCTCCAAACACCCTTTCTGGGAGGGCATTATATTCAGGATGATTAGTTATTTTCCATTTCATGTGCCCTGAACCTTCACAGATGTTGAGCAGCTCAATGCAACATTTCATTTTTACCGTCCTTCACTGTGATCACCTCATGTGTCACTGTATCTCATGTAAGCTACTCCTGGCTATTATGTACAGCCTTCTTTTGCCTACAGAGACTTGGACACATTTTGTGATAAGGTAGGAAATCTTGGCATCAGGGGCTGGAAGGCGACTGCTTCCTCTGCAGGGAAAAATAGACTACTTAGATAATGTTTGTGTGTATTGTCCCAAGCATCTGTGGCCCAATTCCAAACCAGCCCCTACATAATCGCACTCTGTGAGGGAGTGAAATTCAGCTGTAATAACACTCTGAGCTTAATGAGGCTCCTTCTTTAAGGTGTAGGGTGTAAATACAGCAGCAAGCTTTGGGACATACTCCCTTTTCTCCCTTCTGGCAGAAACAGAAACTGTCGTTAAGTGTTGTAACCATGGTTTAGAATCAAAATCTTTTGTAAAAAGATAAATAAATAGTCATTTTGAATCTCCGATAAGACTTGCTGTTGAAGGGTTTGCTAACTTCCTGTTGGATGGTATAATAGCTTCCTGTTGAAGGGTTGGATA